CCTTAATTCCTCTCCGTCGAAAGTCTCATCTGCATCTTCACTTCTGGAAATTAGGTAATGAGCGTCAACGCTGAGTGCGGTCATAGTCCGGGGGATATCGTACAATTTTGAAAATAAAGGTGATTTAACTGCATTTTAGGTATGGTGAATTATAAGCATTCGACAAAGTTTTTAACCGTAGTTTCACTGTTAACCTGAGAAGTCGACATTATAAACCAAATTCTTCTAAGCAAAAGTTACAGCTTCTCCCTCTAGATAATAACGTGCGTTCACAAAGAGCTTTTTTGGCTTGTTGAGCACAGAGTTGTCATGACTATTAGACTCATACATTTTTTATTATTACTAATAATTTTTGTTTCTACGGGCAAATGCAAATGCTTGCATATGGTCGATAGACCCATGTATGAGACATAAGCTCTTTTAAAGTATATATACGATCCCTGTCTCAGTGAAGTTAACCCAACTATCAAAACTACATTTTTTATGTATGTATTTCTGATAACATACATTATTTTTATTTGAACTTAGCCTAAAATACTATTTTTTTTGTAACAAAGAAAAAATATCTTACAAATACTGCCGATTAATAAAAATCAGCATAACCAAATATCAGCGAATCACCACAGCGTTAGATCGCCTTTTCGACTGATTACTGCTTCGATACGTCTTGACATAATGTCAACTAATGTTTAGTAGTCATCTGGTGTAAAGCTGTTCCAGATTTCTTGGAGACGGGTTCGCAATTCGGGAACGGTTCTTGCGGTATTCGATCGGAGCTTTTTCTTCATGATATGCCACAAGGTTTCAATCGATAATAGATCTGGACTACTTGACGTCCATTTTCAAACTTTCGATCCGGACTGTGTCAGAAAGAGTGACTTCCATTTGGCTGCGACATTAACCTGCCAAATCAGACATATCTTTCATCATTTTAAAGAAATTGTAGATAATCTTCAAATTTGTGAAGTTAGCGAGTTTCACTTCATACGTTCTTACCAGACATGCCCAAATCATCAGTAGCTGCCGTGATATTCATCCCGACCACTGCATGCCCACGGCTAGGCGACCTGTATGTTAAATTTGTATGGATAGGGCAGCGGGTTATGCGATAAATCATATGTCACAGTTTTTGTGCACTGATTGCAACGGTTAGATGATACCAAAAATATTTTCATAAATTGGAGATCTTTCCCATTCCGGATCGAACAATCCACCAGAGATGCTTATAATCATGATACCTAGTAAATTTACATGAAAAATCCTCTGTATGTAGGTATATAAGAGCTTTCTTATATTTGTTCATCAATTTGATCATACAACACATCTGCTAAAAATGATCATAATCAGGATAGTAAACTACGACGAAGGTCCACTGTATCTAAGAATTTTCAGATACTTCATTTGCAATTTGACAACAGACCATGACGGTGTTCACCTTTTTCAAATATTCTTCAAGAAGTGTTATCAGTCTAGCTCCAACTATCATAAGTACTATGTTTGTATTCCTACTTTAAATTCAAAGCCAGCAAATGTAAAAGATTCATAACGCACCCTTCACCACGGGACGTGATCGTCGTTAGACTTGGCAACCCTGCGAGTGTCAGATAGATAACCCCACCAGTGAAAAAGGCAAGCAAACAATAAACATTAATAGTTTTTATGATTTTTGGACTTATTTGTGAGACATTTTTCATAATTTTTAATGTTCATAGTAATTGCATTATGCATCACGGAGATATAGGGATTGACACGTCTTAGACATATTATCTGAGTTTTAGGATGGAGAGGACAATGTTTTTATTGCTTTGAAGAAATTCATTAACCCGTAAATTAATAAATGATTACTATTATGATGTAAAGGAAGATGAGGAATTAGATGGAATGTATTTTATATTCTATTTTCTTGCAAAATATAGACAAATCCACACTATTCAACAGGTATGTAATGATAACAGTATATTGAACTTAAGTTCGAGATTGCCATGCATTAACAAACGTCCAAATCTGCTGCCAAATTTAACAGCTAGAAAATCGACCTATTATTTGCCGCATTTCCATTGGCTTTTGGGGATAACTGATTGTTAAATGTAAATTTATAACACAAATCAAAATACATGAAAGTTGACCTGTTTTCTCTGTACAAAAGCATCATGTTGGAATCAAGATGTCGTCTTGTTTATAATACAGTCGAATTTTCACGATTTGATTCAATATGTTAATAGAAATCACTGATATTCTGAGACCTTTGACAGCTTCTATCAAATTGCATTTCGATCAGGTATTTTCCCATTGGTCCATAATATTAATGTTGGTGAAATCGACCCTAAAAATATTATATTTTAAATATTAATATAAATATAATATAAATGTTAATTACCCCTCAAATAAATTCACAAATATCAAGTTTTGGGGCCTAGGGCTAACTTCACTGAGACAGGGCTCGTAGTAAGTAGAGAAGCAGCTGTGACAAATTTTCATAGACGACACTACAGTATTTATCTCGAACTGAATGTGGGAATATGGCATAAGGTTGCCTCTCTTCAGGTAGAATACTTTAACTAATGCGCATTAAAAAAAAATTTATCGGTCATAGAAACCTATTGCGAGATCATCAGGTTTGATTTCTAACCATTAGAAACAAACACCTCCATACTTTCGTAGTGCCTCCCATACTAATAGCGTCATTTCGAAACGCAGCAGCACTGTCACCGTGATCATCACCGGCGTGGTGCCTGTCTCTCAGCGCAAACAAAGGTTCTCCTGCAACGTGGTGATGTTGGTGCGTCTTAAGAATACCCTCCGCTGCGTCCCTTTCTCAGAGGCCAGAGGGGAGCTTCTCCACTGTCCTCAGACACGGACGCCCAGATGAATACTAAATGGGAGGCAAACGCGGGCGCATTATGAATGATTAATAGAAATGGTGAAGAAGCAGCATTGATGTCGCAGGCGGACTCATGGCAGATGGGTCCATGATAGCATCTGTCGATCGATAACAGGGATACGCAATTATTCAGGTTATACGTCGAACGGTAGGCGTTTTATCTAGACAGAAATTTGGCTGCCTGGAGGTATGTGTCCATAGGACAGTTGGTTTCCATGAATTCATAATAAATACTTGATGTATCTAGCCATCCGTGCGAACAGGACTTACTAACTTATTCTATTCCGGCGCTCAAAAAGGGTCCTAGTGCCATCTATGAGACAATAGCATAACATAAAAGTGAATCTACCGATATGTCAGCGCAAAGCGCCATCTCTCACCAAAGTCGACCTTTGCGAGACTGTATAGCAGCTATGGGTTGGGACTGTAGACCTTCAGTCCATGTTTGATAGCACAGTCCGCTAGAGGCTGTCGATTCTGGCGGTATAACACTCGCCAATGAATATCTCAACATGCTGCTTTGTTCGGTCCGACCATAGATAACCAACCATGGACAGCTGTTTCGTGCTTTTTGGTAACTCATCAGCATGATCTAAGCTTCGTCTCTAGGTCAACGAACGAAAGCATAGTAAACCATATGAAATTATTTTTCTAATGACCCTTTTTATACAGAGTGTTCATTTGAAAACTTCCCACCACGGATTGATCGAAGACCACAGATTAAAAGAAATAACGCCGTGACACGTCAAAGGATTGGTCAAGGGGGACAGCTTCTTAACCAAAAACTACTTCACCCTCGGCACCTCAGGGTCATTCCCTTAAAAAGCTTAAGCGGCAAGGGGTATCGAGCAATAGCTTGTTTGAAATTTCTTACGAAGTTCTTCATTTAGACGTTTGATTTTTTGAAATCAGTCGAAAACTTTTTTAGTTATTTGTTGGTAAGGGAAAAAAAGAATTTAATTTGCTGTCATATACCTTTGTAGTAATCTTGAAATAGTGAAAATTAATTTATTGATTCAGATTTTACTTCCAAAATGGTTTACACACTAGCCGAAAGAGTGGGAATGATTCTAATTTATGGTGCCCAAAATCAATGTGCTCGCGTTTAACGCCATACAGCCGGGGAAGACAATTTCGCATAGGTATGTTTTGGACCGTGTTACTAAATTTACTCAAGCTGGATCTGTTTCAAATGAAGCCACTCAAGTGGAAGCATTGGGTCATTTTTGAATAAATCCTAATGCTTTATTACGCAAAATTGTTGCTGCGACTGGAATTTCATTAGGCTCTGTACACACAGTTACTAAACTCCATAAATGTTATCCATTCAATATGAAAATATAGCAATAGTTAGCCGAAGATGATTTCGATAGGCGAGTTGAGCTTTGTGAACTGCAGCGACTAATGATAATACCATTCATGTAAAGAATATCTGCTTCAGTGATGAATCCACATTTTATCTGAATTTATTTGTTAATAAACATAACTGCAGAATGAAAATCCTCATGCTTTTGTAGAAGGGCATAACCCAGTACCCTCAAAAAATTTATGTATGGGCAGGCGTTTTGGGAAAGAAAGTGATTGGGCCATTGTTTATTAATGGAAATTTGAATGGAGACAGTTATTTGGACATGTTGGAAAATACCGTCAATCCGCTTATCACTGAAACCATTGAAAACCAAATCGAAGAGGATGGAAACCCTGTACTTGATCAGGCTGAAATATGTTTCCAGCAAGACAGCGCTCCTCCTCACTATGTTCTTCCAGTTCGGCAATGGCTGGACGACTAGTTTCCATATAAATTGATAGGGCTAAGAGGGCCTATAGAATGACCTGCTGGATTTTCTGATTTGACACCATTAGACTTTTTCTATCGGGCCATTTTAAATCTATTATGAACTTCGTCAATGCATCATCGAAAGCTGCCATGATATGCCACAACGTGTTTTCGAAAACATCCGTCAGGAATTTGAACGTCGCGGTTCTCATTATTTGGCCAATTTTGACCACTTATTGAAATAAAAAGTGATATTCCTGTGTGTTTTTGTTTTGTACGAGGGATGTCTTTTAAGTTTTGCACATGGAAATAAAACAATACAATAGGTAGTTTTAAATGACTTTATTGTTTTTCGAAGTATTCTCCACCAAGATTAATACACATCTGCGTGCGCTCGAACCAATTTTCGAAGCACTTATTCCACTCGTTTGCTGACAGATCCAAAACGGCATTTTTGAATGCGTCAGCTGCTTCTTCTGGTGACTGGAACCTTTGACCACGCAGTCTGTTTTTAATTTTCGGGAAAGTAAAGAAATCGTTAGGACTTAGATCGGGACTATATGAAGGATGGTCCAACAATTCCACGTTTTCTTCCGTTAAATACTGCCTTGTTTTTTGGGCTGTGTGCGAGCTTGCATTGTCTTGGTGGAGGATGATTCTTCTTTCGGGGTTGATTTTTCGAAGCTCGGTGATGACTTTTGGCAAACAAATGGTGGTATACCAATCCGCAGTAACAGTTATTTGCTCATTAACAGGAATTGTTGCACTATGACCCGCTTTTGGCACAAATGTCGCGACCATCTTTTTCGGAACACTTCGAGAATGGATGACTTTTGTTGGCTTTTCTTCACCTTGGAACACCCAAACAGCCGACTTTCGTTTATTTTTGGTTCATAACAGTAAATCCACGATTCATCACCACTAACAGTACTGTACACATTTTTTGAGTTTCCGGAATTGAAACAGTCAAGCGTTTTTTGACACCAATTAACCCTGGTTGCTTTCTGCTCTTCAGTCAACAGGTGGGGTATCTAATGAGAAACTAATTTTCTTACTCCTAATTCTAACTAAACTATACGTATCGTTGTGAAACTTTGAATTTAAGTTTACTAAAGAGTGAGGTTAAGATTCAGTACTGACGTTCGATCCGCGCGGCCTACTATGTTTCTATATGCAAAAATTAAGATGAAGATTTTTCTAATTCTAATTCTAATCAAACGTCAAAATAAAGGACTTCGAAGGACGCTTCAAACAAGCTATTACTCGATGCCCCTTGACATTCGAAAGTTTTAAAGGGATGACCCTGGGGGCAGAGGGTGAAAGAGGGTGAATTAGGTCTTGGTTAAAAAGTTGTGCCCCTGGAAAAATCTTTTGTCTTGTCACGGCTTTTTTTTAATCAGTGGTTTTCGATAAATCCGTGGTGAGAAGTTTTCAAATGAACACCCTGTATAAATTTCTTTTGACTAACTGGAATTTGGGGTGTAAAAAACACAGTTATAAAGTTACCGACGTCTCGAATAAATTTGTTTCCTTCTTCAGGGCTCTACAATTTTTTTTAAAAACTAACTTCACATATAGATAAAATACGAGTATATGCATTAGTTAACATTTTAACAAATTTAAATAATAGAATCGATGTAAAAAATACTTATTGTGGTTAAAACAAATATAAAATGATATAGATAGATATTTAAAAAACGATGTTTGCCTTTTTCTTGATAAATATTACCTCAATGTTATTTGGTCGGTTTTTGGGTTGTTAGGTCATCTTAAAATATTTTTATTTGACGTTTCGCCAACACGAGTTGTAAAATCTGCTTTAGAGTTGGCATTACTGAAGGTCTAAGCTGTAAGTTGTATACTATAGCTAGAAGGAAACGGCAATGCATAAGTGCATAGTGAGGACTTGTGTGCTAATACTATGTGTTGATGATAATTCTATTGGGTTAGGTTACTTGAGCAAATATCACTGACTCTATACATAATTATGTAGACCAATACGCATATTCAACCAACTTTCTTCTCACAGATGAAAACTCTGCTTCACAAAATATATGCAACCAACAATGCGTGTGGTTGAGCCATTCCTCCCTTGATGGCTCCTCACAATGATCCCAGTGAGCAAACGTGGAATGACTGTGTGCACCCAAAAAACTACCTAGTCTGCAAGATGACATTTTATAGGGTTTTTGTGACGGTTTATAGGTTTTTTACATAATACCCGTGCCGGACTTCCCTTATATAAAATATTCCTTCTGCTTTTAGTAGCCCATCAGCTTCTTAATATTATCATACCCAGAGGAGCTGCTAGCAAGTATTGTGGCCGTGGGGCAGCACACCGCGTCTGATATTTATGATCCGCAAGAGTATTGAAGTGGCAAAGCGAGAATTCTTTGTCGCGGATGGCCACCGCGCCGTTGGCCTCTCAGTTGGCCAACTTTTAATGACGTTTATGCGGCTTACTAGCAGAGAGCTACGAGTACCATCGCCGAGAGCGGCAACTTTGTTACGACGCAGAACAGTTGAAATATTACGAATGCAACCTCTCCGAGTTGCGCTGGTTATCTGGCCAGGACTTTTGAGATAAATGGACCCTGGATCAGAGCCTCGCCATAATAGCACGGTCATTTTAGAAGATAAACGATATTCCATTTTATTAGTATCATTGCTTTGATTGGGGATGGTGAACCATCGCGCTGAACTGCTAAAACAAGACAGCCTTTCTTGTTGTTTAAAGAACAATACGTACAGAATTGTCTTTTTCACGAGAATGATAGAATAACAGCTGACTATCTAGTGATATTTCAAAATCCCCCATATCGATGAATGAAAATTCTGACTGTTCCGTCAACGGCAGGTAGACAGAGTAGTATTCTGTTTTGGTTTTTTGCACGCTACAGATGCATTTTCTACTTGTTAAAAATTATTTATTTAGAAAAGTTTATTTGCATGCAAAAAAACGCTACAAGTAAGTTTTACTAGATTTACACCCGATTCATTATCGCCAACGTTACACACTAAAACAAAGATGTCACCTGCTGATCAGCTATTCACCTCACTTCAAAACGTAATGGATACTCGTGAAATAGGGTTTAACAGGAAATAATAGTTTCCCGGCATTTCTCAGTAACAGACTCCGCTTCTAAGAGCCTCAAAAAGATCGTCCATCACTTAGGCGTTTCATCATCACTCAGATGATGACATAAGCCCGTATCGTCAGTCGTCCCTACAATTGTAGGGCGCTTTTATGGCCTCCTTGATTGTCATACTCCTTTCTCTCCTTCAAAAATTTCTAGATTACACTTGTCCCGTGTCAGCATCAGCGTTCTCCTATTGTGAAGATTGGTTTCTTTTTAAATTGTAGGAAATTTTAGGACCACAAAACATGATATAACTCAAAAGCAAGCACAATTTGATGCAAATAGATGTTTGTGACATAACCTCAAAATAGAGCGCTGACACGGAGAAGTAGAAAACTATGTCAATCACGGAGGCCATAAAGGCGCCCTACAATTGTAGGGACGACTGACGATACGGGCCTTAGTACTTACCATGCTACCAACATTAGCGTACTTTTTTATATGTCGAAGCAGCCTTGTAGGCATAAGCCTAAATACCAGGGTACTTTGGCTGCTATGAGGAGTTTAAAGACAATGTGTTAATCCGATTTTTGAACTGCCTAATGTTAGCAGAATGGGAAAAGCCTCGTCAGGCAGGTTGTTACACAATCTTGATACCTAGAGACAAAAGAGCGGTTGTATTGGCCAATTCTAGATGTATGAAGTTCGACACGGTTAGGATGGAAGGCTGAAGTCAGGCGGGTCTGTCTGGCAGGGTCATTGCGCGGCGAGATCATGCAGGAGAGTAGTGCCGTTAGCAGAGCGGTAGATGAGAGCTAGATCGTCGATGGCACGTCAGCGCGAAAGGGTCCCGACACTGTCCGTCCAGGGTAGCATGTGAGCAGTACTCGCCTTGTACAGAGTGAGGAGGTTATGTTGAGAAAAGTGTTTCTCTCTGACGAGATGTGTTCGTATCAGGTCAAGTCCTCAGAAATCTGCACTCTAATCGTCCATCCATCGGAACCGGAAGAGCGCTAGGGTGCTTCTTGTCAAGATTCAGTACTTTGAAAGCATTAAACTGTACGAGATTGTGGTGTCTCCAAGCAGTGTCGGCCTCCATGTCTCTCGTCAGAGACCAGCTCACAGTCAGAGATCAGCTTCGCACTCTGAATTCCTGCATGTAGAGTTCTGTCGTCAGCAAAGCTGAGAATGGAATTGATCGTACAGGAAAGGGGGCTGCTGATATTGAGGAGCAATGTCAGAAGCCAAGACCGATCCCTGGGGAACACCCGCATTGATATTGTGGAATGAAGAGGAAAACCTTTCAATTGAGATGAACATCTTGCGGCCAGAGAGCAAAGTTGCATAAACTAACCAACGTGTGAGAAAATTTTTATGGTTTTCCATCTGTGCGACCACAATCAACCATATACAACGTTGTTTCATGCTTTTATCAATCATCAATGCTGCCGTAGGTAAGAGTCGGTAGTACCGCGATTGGCGGAATTATTCTTAGATGGAGTGTCAAATTTATTTTGCGCACATCACAGAATTGATTTTCTACAACAGACACGTATTCTCTTGTTTGTTTTCCGTCACCTAGACCTATAAGATGATGCTGATTGCTGAAAAGCATGAAACAGCGTTTCATACAATTGGCTATGGCCTCAGAGAGGAAAGCAAAATGATCAGATTCAGCCTGTGGATAGGATTTTATCCAGCACAACATACACTAAAGGAAAATTATGCTACGTTTATGACACATTAACTTGGGTGAGCATTGACTCGTATGATTACAATTAAAGATTATGTAGGAAATTTTGAAGACATTAAGTTTAGAATACGTTTGTTTTAATTTTTCGATGTTTTTTCAAAGGATACGTTTTTATAAATTCCGGAAACCCGGTGATAGTCAATATTTTCTGGATATCCAAATTTCCCAAAGAATTCGACTTTTTAGAATATCGAAAATTTTCATAATTTATCGGATATTTAAGGATTGTTTTAAACTCATTTATTGCCTCTCATGTATTCCAAAAATTTTCACTACTATTTTTGTTTCCATAATTCATCATATAAAAATCGCTTGATATTATTTTTCGCTGCCACGTTGACTGAACTAGTAAACATCGCAACCAATGCCTACGAAGGCTCGTAACTTCGACAAAATTTGCAGCGGCCACTTGCATGACAGCGGGTAAATCGCAAACTGAAAACTCTGCCAAAAGTGCATCCTACGAAAAAGACCACAATATGTCACTGAATCCTTGATGTAGTGTACTGTACCTACATAACAAATACAAAAAGATATAAACATGTAAATGTTACATTTGGCATTATACCATATTCATAATTTGCAGATACCTATATTGCTGCTGGAACAAGATATATTGATTATAGTTTTAATCTCCGTTCAATATAAGATGTGGAGTAAGATCGAATATGGTATATAGCGTCCACTTCCAATTTCGGCGCATATCAAACTAATTAGTAATTTTTAAAATACAAATTAAAAACCTTGACATTCAAGTGAATCTCGTATTGATACCTTATAGATTAGCAAAGCATCATCAAATACCTCCCTCGATGCAGATAAAATTGGGTTACCTACGAGTACCTTAAGCAGAACATATACAAGACTAGTCTAGAAAATGGCATCAATCAGGTTGATTCTGCACTCCCACGCAACACCGTTGTCAGTTCATAAAAGCTAACAGTCAAGTCAGTCAAAAACTAGGCGCATACAATCAGTCTCTAGTCCTCAAGCCTTGACACATTCCACCTCTGACCCCCCTAATAATTTGGATGTCTTCTAAAGTTAACCTATTAACTCATATTCAGAATTTTTACAATTCGGCCTCCCTTAGAAAACTTGGTACCCCGTGTTCCTTAGAAATGTGTGAGGGCTGATACATAATTAATATGTTTACAGAATGATGATTCTTCCACTCAATGTCTCCCTGATAAAAAATCCTGCGGGCGCCCATGTTTGAGACAAGCAACACTGTCATACCCAGACTAAGGTCTCTTTGCGACAGGTTTATCTTTGCGTTCGGAAGTTAAAAATCATAGAATAATTGGGTCAAGTTATAAACTACCGATTTTTATTGAATGCCCAGCTTAGTAATTTAAAAATTAAACCCTTGCATTCTATACCCCATTGAGTCATATGCGCTTACCGATTTTCGTCAACCACAGCTAAGAATCGTCTCGGCAGACAAGTATTTCGATTAAAAAAGACACACTAAGCGTTTTTTCAGTTGGAGAGCTCCATTTTCACAAATACGTAGACACACAGATTCATACCCAGGTACATATGTTAAACTTAGAAGTCATTATTACATTCCGCGATTGGGGTAAAAAATATGGCAAAAGTCGTCGCAGGGCGAAAACACAATGGAAGCTGGTTTCCTGCTTACCGGCAACCAGCGCCGATCGGTACCGAATGTCGGCGCTGGTCACGGACCAGCTGATGAGAATAAAGCAAATAAAACTGGTCTCTTGTCAGTTCCAGCGTAGTATTTGCGGCAACATGGGGTCTAGCTCATTTGAAGATGAACTTATGGCATTGGACAGCTCTGTAACTAAGATAATTGCTAGAAATTCACCCCATAAATCGTGAGAGGGTACATTATGGTGAATATAATCATTTGTTTAAGGCGTTGGAAGATGACACCGGCCGCTTTTTTCAGTACACCAGAATGGATCATGAAATTTTCAATTAGCTTCTGGAAAAACTAACTAAAGACTGGTGTAACCTCCACAGCCTTAACTAATTTGTCTATATCCAATATCCACATCAATCTGCTCTGACAAACCGGCGATAAAAAAACTAAATAATCGACAGCTTGCCTCTATTGTGTTATTGACAACTCAAGACCTTGAAATTATTATAGAAGCTTATGGGCGCCGATCGGCGCTGGTTACCGGTAAACCGGAAACCGGCTTCCACTGATAGCCAACCCGTACATGCAAGCCCAGAATTCATTTGTCAGGCAGCTGAGTTGCTTAATTTGTTATCATGACCTTGACTTTATTCACTGCCACTTTACGGCGACTATAACTGTCAATTAAAGTCGGGCTATAGATTCCCACAATCGTTTATCCTGTCGATCGCTCTTCATTCAAGTGTAAACACTGTATTTCCAAAATCCATTTCACACTGAAAACTGACCAGCAGAAGAAGCTTCAGACGTGATTTAATGTATTACGTGCTCGAGATGCAAACATTCGACTACGTTTGGCAGATATTTCTACCAATCTCAACAGCATTCTATCCACGAATGCCGAGGTGGTCAATAAATGTCCGCACACGTCCGTTTAACTTCCTTATTAGAGCTGTGGTAGTGAAGAGTTGCACCAAGATGCGTCTTGGCGCGATGTTGAACGCTCTGGACATTAGTATTCATCTCGAAGCTCAGCTGCGGCGATGCAACGCCTGGCGGCATCAGCTTCACTTCTTTCGATTGCTAACGAAGCTGAGCAAGCTGACAGAGTCGTAGATAGGTTTCTTTCGGCTTATATTACCCAGCAGATCGAAGTACACATATTAAACATTTGGTTAAGGAGCACCAACGAATTTTAATATGTTAGGAGCCATTTCATTTTTTGTCGCCATTTGACTCCAATGCATACCAAAGTGGCAGCGTTGTATCAACATTCTTTTTTTATACCGAAGCAGCCGCGGTGCCCTGAAATTTAGGCTTCTGCCTGCGCGGCTATGAGGATCCCAAAGAAATTTTGTTAATCCGGCTTTTGAACTACTCAAGGTTAGTAGAACTGGGAGAAGCCTCCTCTTGTAGATTGTTCCACAATCTCCACACCCTCGGAACAAAGGAGCGGTCGTATCATCAAGTTTTGAATGTATGCAGTTCGACACGGTTAGGATGGGACGCCAGAGTCAGGCGGGTCTGTCTGGCAGGCACATCGCGCGGCGGCATCATGGAGGAGAGGTCTGAGGAGCAAAGCCCGTTGGTGTAGCGGTAGAAGAGAGCTAGATCGCCGACGGCCTGTCAGTGCGAAAGGGTCCCGAGACTGTCTGTTAGAGAACAGTCATCGATCAGCCCTCCTCTGGACAGCATCGAGCGATAATAATGATATTTACTGGCGGAATGCGGCATTTTTCATGAGTATCCATTACGGTAGAATAATAGCTGATTATCTAGTGATACTTCAAAACTCACCATATGGACAAGTGACGCATAATTACAACACCAGGTAGACAGAGTCGTATTTTGTTGTGATTTTTTGTACGATAAAGGTTCATTTTGTACTTGCTAACAACTCTTTTATTTAGAAAACTTCCTCGCATATAAAAAACGCTAGGAGCAAGATGGCTGCCAATTAATCATAAATACATTTCAAGTCAGGTAGGAATAGTTTTAGCTGTGTTAATCATCTCTACTTTTTAGAACTTGAAATACCATATGATTTTAAAAGTCAATGAAATAGCTATACAATTAATCAGAATGTGTACAGTATACCAGTATGACCGGATTGATAGAGATTCGATCTTCAGAATTAGGTCTGAACATTACTCAGGTACAAGTTAGAAATTAGAAAAATGTAAGGACAATGCATGTTCGCGAATGTCGTGTCTGTAACTATTTTATTTGTAGGTTGTTGTGTGTAAGATCAATTTATTTTACATATGTGTGTTTTAAAGACGCTGTATTGACTATTAATTTTCATGATCTCCACATACTTAACCTGTGAACCTGTCAATACGTGACACTGATGAGGGACAATTAACCAGAAACACGTGCCTATACTATTTTCATAGGTAAAATTACAGCTACTAAAGGGCAATGTAACCTGTTCTATTGACTTACAGTGTAATCAATAAATCCCAGATGTACCATAATAATTTTAAGATTTTTTATCAGTACTTATTGTCAAAATTCTCAATCACTTAAAAGTATAATCCAGATATTTGAACACCAGCTCTGAACACGATACTGATATTCATTATTGCCAACGTTACAGACTAATGCAAAGATGTCGCTTTTGTGTCGCTCTTTATCTAAGAAGTACCTGGAATCGTCTAACACCACCATTATCTTCAAAAATAACAGTAAAGATACGAATTTAATGACAGAACTGTAAAAAAATGATTCATGTCAAGTGCACTTGTAGTATCTTTGATTCTCACTACAGATTATGAGAATTGGGAGACAAGAAACTCCTTGACTGGCTCCTTCTACCTACTCTGAATTTGTTAAGGTGTAGAGAGCAATCGATATTTCTTAGTGGGTTAGCTGAAAGAGTTTTGGTTGCTGGCAAAAAATGGCAAGGTAATGTTATATGTAAAATTCTCTTAACCTGAGCCTATCGACTGGAACTCAACATTGTCATATTGCACCAGAACTGAGGCAGTCTGGTATCATCACAGAGATAACAACAAGGCTTCACTCATATGAGTCCATTATTTGGCAGACGTTTCGACACCAATGTGGACAGCTGACAATTTTGTGACAATATATTCTGTTTTCTGTCTTCTAAGTGACATATTCCTATAGATTGTGTTACTACAATAGTCTGAACGGTTCTGTAATATGGTGAGATGGCGTGAAAACATTATTGCAATTTTATCATGGCACCGCGCAAAACCAGCAAAGCCCAGGACCAGCTAGCGTAAGCATTCCCGCTCCAAAAAGATCGCCCAGCCCTCCAAAGCGACAAGCGAGCATGAGGTAATCTGTTGTTTTATATACGTATACACTTTACCTCATCCGTCGTCCCAAAAACGCGAAAAGTCACCCAGAAATCTTATCTCAATGCACCGGTTAATTATTGTGTAATCTTTCGGATTGATGAATTGAAAATGGGAGCAATAGAACTTAGACATCTAAAGGAAACTATGTTGTTTGTCTGGCGAGGAAATAAAATGAGATGCACATTTGAGATCCAGTAACAAATCATAAGAAAAATCCTGGAAGTAAAATACTCATGATCCGTCGTCGGCTTGGAGAATATCATTTAGATCTTTCTTTCAAGGATGTTCAACCAAAATGGGTCTCTTTTCACCGAAGTTTCAGGACTTACATAAGGATTCATTCATTCATGAGAAAACATATTGATTCGAAAATGAAACATTTTAAGGTACATATGATAAACTGAATTGAATTAGCATTATTTCTCATGCTCCGCAGATAATATGTATTCTCAAAACTGAGTAAGTGTATTTTAGGAGCAAATAACATCCGACTACTAGTATTCAATATTTCGATTCTGGAGGTTTGCAATAAATGAGCTATCGTTTCTACAGTATCCTTAGAGTATAGCAAATGGACTCTAAGTACTTATTTTAATAATCAACAGACTTTAAATTAGCCTTTGGGGTTTGTTAAGGTGTGTGTGTGCTACAATTTTTGAAATGTAGAAAGATATTAAAATTGGTTCAGCATAAGTCTGGCAACTGAAGTTTCCTTTATTCTCACCTTTCCTATGATAAGCACTATCCTTACTAATCCTAATATTTGTTCTATGAATAAGTTTTAACTTATATTTGGGGAATGTTTGCAATTTGCTCGATTTGATTTCTGGAGGTTTGGTTTAGGCTAAGTGGTGTTCGTACATTTAAAACGAGGATCTAGCCACTGACACTCTTTATAACAAAATATCTCCTCAGCTCAGGCTTCTTTAGATGCCCTTGGAAATCCCTGAATCTTCTTAGATCCACTTAAATTTCGTTGGTCACCTCTTTATCGCCATTGAATAGAAACGTGAAATATACTTAGAAATCCGTTTAAGCCCGGGTATAATGATGGCAGAAATGGTTGGATTGCCTCCTTGGATTGCCTCGGATCTCCTTGGATCACATCGGATCTCCTTGAATTTTCTCGCATCTTCTTGAATTAGCTTAAATCTCTATGGATTGCTCCGGATCTCTTTATTGTGTGAAAGAAAATTCCTTCAGATGCCTTGGACCTCCTTGAATGTCTTCGGATATATCTCTATAGATTGCTCAGGATCCCCTCCAGTATGACAGAAAATGTCCTTGGATCACTTCCGATTTTCTTGAATTAGCGAAAATCCCCCTGGATTGCATCGGATCTTCTCCAAGTGTGATAGAGAATGTCACTGTATTGCCTCGCACGTCCTTGGATCACATCGGATTTTCTTGAATTAGCGAAAATTTCCCTGGATTGCATCGGATCTTCTCCCAGTGTCAGATAAAGTGTCCTAAGATTGCCTCACATCTCCTTGGATCACTTTGGATTTGCTAAATTTATTTCAAATCTCTATAGATTGCTCCGGATTCCCTACCAGTGTGTTCGAAAATGTCCTTGTATCGCCTGGCATCTCCTTGGATCACATCGGATTTCCTTGAATTATCTTGAATCCCTGTGGATTGCTCCGGATCCCCTCCAGTGTGATAGAAAATGTCCTTGGATTGCTTCACATCTCCTTAGATCACGTCCGATTTTCTTGAATTAGCTTAACTCTCTATGGATTGCTACGGATCTCCTCCCAGTGTGGTAGAAAACGTCCTTGAATTTCCTCAGATTCTCTTGACTTAGTTCAAATTGCTATAGATTGCTCCGGATTTTCTCCCAGTGTGACGGAAAATGTCCTTGAATTGCCTCGTATCTCCTTGGATCACGTCGGATTTTCTTGAATTAGCAAAAATCTCCCTGGATTGCATCGGATCTTCTCCTAGTGTGGTAGAGAATGTCACTGGATTCCCTCACATGTCCTTGGATCACATCGGATTTTCTTGAATTAGCAAAAATCTCCCTGGATTGCATCGGATCTTCTCCTAGTGTGGTAGAGAATGTCACTGGATTCCCTCACATGTCCTTGGATCACATCGGATTTTCTTGAATTAGCAAAAATCTCCCTGGATTGCATCGGATCTTCTCCTAGCGTGGTAGAGAATGTCACTGGATTGCCTTGCATGTCCTTGGATCACATCGGATTTTCTTGAATTAGCAAAAATCTCCCTGGATTGCTTCGGATCTTCTCCTAGTGTGGTAGAGAATGTCACTGGATTGCCTCGCATGCGATTGGATCACATCAGATTTTCTTGAATTAGCGAAAATCTCCCTGGATTGATTCGGATCTTCTCCCAGTGTGATATAAAGTATCCTAGGATTACCTCACATCTCCTTGGATCACATTTCATTTGCTTAAGTTAGTTCAAATCTCTATAGATTGCTCCGGATTCCCTCCCAAGGTGATAGAAAATGTCCTTGGATTGCCTGGCATTTGCTTGGATCACGTCCGATTTTCTTGAATTAGCTTAACCCTCTCTGGATTGCTACGGATGTCCTCCCAGTGTAGTAGAAAATGTCCTTGGATTGCCTCGCATGTCCTTGGATCACATCGGACTTCCTTGAATTAACTTGAATCTCTGTGGATCACTCCGGATCCCCTCCAGTGTGATAGAAAATGTCCTTGGATTGCTTCGCATCTGCTTGGATCACGTCTTATTCTTTTGAATTAGCTTAACCCTCTCTGGATTGCTACGGATGTCCTCCCAGTGTAGTAGAAAATGTCCTTGGATTGCCTCGCATGTCCTTGGATCACGTCGGATTTTCTTGAATTAGCAAAAATCTTCTTGGATTGCTTCGGATCTTCTCCTAGTGTGGTAGAGAATGTCACTGGATTGCCTGGCGTCTCCTTGGATCACATCGGACTTCCTTGAACTAACTTGAATCTCTGTGGATCACTCCGGATCCTCTCCAGTGTGATAGAAAATGTCCTTGGATTGCTTCGCATCTGCTTGGATCACGTCCAATATTCTTGAATTAGCTTAACCCTCTCTGGATTGCTACGGATGTCCTTCCAGTGTAGTAGAAAATGTCCTTGGATTGCCTCGCATGTCCTTGGATCACGTCGGATTTTCCTGAATTAGCAAAAATCTTCATGGATTGCATCGGATCTTTTCCTAGTGTGGTAGAGACTGTCAATGGATTGCCTCGCATGTCCTTGGATCACAACGGATTTTCTTGAATTAGCGAAAATTTCCCTGGATTTTTCGGATTCTCTTGAATTAGTTGAAATCTCTATAGATTGCTCCGGATTCCCTCCCAGTGTGACAGAAAAAGCCATTGCCTCGCATGTCCTTTGATCAAATCGGATTTTCTTGAATTAGCTTGACTCTCTATGGATTGCT